TCCGGAAAAATAGTTTCATTTCCTATGTGTAACAATCGCAAAACCTAAGAACTTGTAATTTGTTATTAATAGTTATTTGTTATGCAAGGCTGCAAAGTTTAAGTGTATTGAAACTTGAGCATCGAGTAGAGTTCTAGAATACGACTCTCAGATTGAACCACGAGTGAAGCGACAAATTGAACCCTGGGCGTAGCGAGGTTTTCAAAGCACGAGACGCAACAACTTTGCTGGCGAGCTAAACACACAAATAGGAAATTGGTAGATGAAAGAAAAACAGTTATAATAATAATAATAAATTTATTTCTTTCACACACAATTTCAACCATAATTAAACAGTCTAGTTGAACTATACCAAATTGAACTATAACAAATCAGTTTTTCATCACCGCTCATGTTTTGTTTCTTTTCAATTTATTACAGTACAATTCGATCCAAAGTATTGAAACTGAAGTGATTAAAATGAAAATTTTAAATAAATAAGTTTAGTTTTGGGTGCATTCTAAATTTACACCACTTACGTTTTCTTGTTCTTTGTATTATAATTGTATGTGGTTAACGAAATTATTTTAGTTCTTCGACAAATTAAAATAATTCAATAAAATAAAATTAGTGTTATCAATATTATATAAATACTTAATGTACTTATGACGAATCGCATTTCGGAACGCGTCACAATTTTCTTTTAGTCAAAAGAATAACTTTTTCTTCGGATGCATTCTGAATTTGCATATCATCAATCTTTATTCTAGCTTCAAGGAAGTAGCTTGTACTTATAATTTTGTGTTTTTATTGAAATTATTTTAGTTCTTTGACGAATTAAAATAATTTAATAAACAAAATTAGTTATCGTGGTCAATTTAATGTCAACCATATAATAAGAATAAAATATACCAACAGATCTAAATTACATAAATAATGTACGACAAATCACGTAGTTGAATATGTCATTGTTTTTTTTTATTAAAGGAAAAAGTTAGTTGCACCACATTCCATCGTCAGGTTGAAATGTCAAAAACCTTTTCCACGCTAGCGTGCAAAAAGCGCTTTTGCGCGCAGATTTGTAATGAGAAAGAAAGCCTTTCCGAGCTAGTGAGGTGAAAATATTATTTTATGACAAAAATCAATTTTTTTTATAAACCTAAAGGGCAAGAATGTCAAGATTTTGTAAGAATTACCTACGAAGATAACATTAAAAAACTAGTAATGTCCAACTTCTATAGAAGAAATTCCTCAAACTAATCTATCAACTATTATTAGCAGGATAGTAAGTTTGCTGGGTAGAAAATAGTATTTTTGGCTTCTGTCCACCACTTGAATATTGCCAGCTAGCTAGTTTATGACTAAACATGCCTAATATTTCATAAAATGATTAGCTACCTTCTTTGTCTCATATCCTGTTCATCTTGAGCTGCTTATTGGTCAGCAATGGGGGCTTCTTCTGGCCTTGCCTCCATCTCATAGTCTGTATTCCGGGCATCCTTAATTGTCATGGTGAAATTATATATCTTGAGTACTTCAAAACTTGAAGTATTAAGGAAATCAAAACATTTTATTTTTAATTTAAACCAAATAATCTAAATTTAAATAATGGTGTAGCAGCTGGAATACTCCTTAAATAACCAGCATGGTTAACAAAAACCTGATTTGATACTCAAAATTCGGGGTTACTATGTTCCGTTAAGTGGGAAATCTGTTGATGTTTGCTGGTTGCAATCACAGAAGAAACAGAGTTGCAGTAGGTAGGTTAGACTTAAGTACGATAAATGAAAACAATTTTGTGTTGGAAAATAAATTAAAAAAAGAAAAGAAAAATATTTTTTACTTTCATTTCAAAACTGGAAAGCAGTAATATTTTTATAGTGTATAGTTTTATAGTGTATTCTATAACATTAACAACATAATTTGAAATTATTGTTTGAGACTTGAAAATATTTTGTAAATAGATTGAGAATACAGATGATAGGGTTAGTAGCATTGCGGTTGGAGGGTAAATAGTAAGGAGGCAATAATAAATAGAAAAACTATCCAACAAAGGAGAGTTTGGGAGTCAAGAATAATGTCAGAATGGTTTATGACTATTTCTCAAAATATTTGTACATTTACACAAAAGGGATGTGCTTCGAAACAGTACAAAAAAATAATACTATGTTTTTATTCAATTCTACACAAATAAATAGGAAAATTTTAAAGAATAAACTGTTTAATTAAATTGGTATTTAATCTCCGTAGAGTGAAAAGTGTAATCTTATTATTTCATTCATTATTTCCACTTTTTCATAACAATGTTTTTTACTCTTCATGCAAAAATAAAATTTGATATGTGGCTTCATAAACGAAAATTCGACCTAACGTTATTTGGGGCAAATGTATTTTCTGACTTCTGAAAGGTAATCCCAAGCAGTAAAACGAGTAGTACAGCATTTTTTTAGTTATTGCTAATGTTTAATAAAGAAATCATTTTAAAAATAAGACCAAGTCAAAGTGACTCTATGATTTCTTTGTTCTAAATATTTCAATCATTTGTGGTTCGAACAATTGAAAATGACCAGGAAGTTTATATAAGCTTCTTGAATTTGCATTAATGGGTCTCTTTCCATCTGTTGCGCATGCAATATGTAGAAAAAGGACAGTTAGCTATATGATTATTTGTTTGCTTTTGTAATTTATATCTATGATTCATTTATATATAAATTAATTAATAAATACTATACAACTGTACAAAATAACACTTTTAAATGATAACTATGATAACACAATATATTTGTTTAGTGAAAATATGATACAAAATCCTGTTTTTACACTGTATGAGTACTTTTTACAAGTTATTATTATATAGTACTTCATGTTTGACAACCGCGCTGTGATTCGAACAAACGAAGACTGTTGTGCGATTGACGCTCTGTATGCTATTTTAACGTGCTTTTTGTTACGTACAATTATTTTGAGAAATAGTCTTATACGTTATTTATCCAATTTGATACTGCAAAGGTTACGACCGAAAACAACTACGGCTGAGAGTGGGTGGAAGTAATATTAATCTATGGGCTGAGACCAAAGATGTATTGAAGGGGACTTCAATTCAAAGACTTTAGTAAATAAGAGGTTATTATTACTATTATAAGAAAGTTTAATTATGGTTGAAATTGTGTGTGAAGGAAATAAATTTATTATTATTATTATTCCCCTTACAATAACGGCAAATTATTTAGAAAAAATCTTTGTAAAACATTACGCAGCAGCCATTTAAATAGATCTTGTGTACTTACAGTTGCAACGTGCGATAATAACACAAAACACTATTACGCCTAGCGGATATTTATTAACCAATAATGAAATGAGATAAAAGAGTGATAATCATCTTTAATCAGTTTGTTTTGAGGTAATAATTTTATTAAAGCACGTACACGGGAAACAAGCTCGTTACTCACTTTTTAACTTTTTTTTATAGATCATCACAGACTACTCCCTATATCAACATACCAATACCCTGACTACCACAACTACCATGCAGACTACTCTGTGTTATAAATTTTCACATTGGGTAGGCAAGGCAAAGGCTCCACCACCCAGCCTCTTCATATTTAAAGCACTTGTTTTTAAATTAAGAAAGGCAAAGGGTTAAAACAAGTCCGTCCGTAGCTAGACTATCCATCCTCTAAGGTCCATGGGTTAAAACAATACAGTAACCCTGTGTGCACACGACACGAATTCATCGCGTGTCGACGACATTTAATCGATTTTCTTTGCTATTATTGACCTTTGGTTTTGAGGATATCTCCATAATTTTGAGTTGAGTCAAGACAGTAAACATTGTAGACGCATCATATAAAACTTGTTGGTAGGTTTTTTTTTATTATATAATTTCGAGGGCGGACTGTTGGTTTAATGATGGTAATTTCAAAGAGTGGAAATTTTCCGGAATTTCAGAAAAATTTGAAAAGTATAAATCGAAGGGTCGTAATATTATGTTTTACAAGTGTTATACGTTTAAATATATCTTTTTTTTAGATACAATTTTTCCGGAAAGTTTTCTCATCGTTTTCGTTCAGTATCTTCAACTTTTGTCAGGTGTCAACTGTCAAATAAGGAAAAATGGAGGAAAAATATTTCTTATATAGAAATGAAACTATGTTTTCGGATCTAAATCGTGGCGTGACTACTGTTGGGTAATTTTCCCAAAATTTCAAATAATCGAAACTTTTCCGTAAAAATTCCCATAATACAGATGTCCTATAAAGTTTTATTTAGCGTGAAATAAACTTGTATAGCTAAAGCCACATAGAAAAATGAGATTTTGAAAATTATTTCACAACAGCGAAAAAACCTATAAATTTGGCTTAATCGTTTTCGTTCAGCAACTTTAACTTTTGACAGGTGTCAACGTTAAATGTGGAAAATTACAGCAAAATATTAGAAAATATAATAATATATCCAGAAAAATATGATTTTTCAAAATGAAAATTTTTCCATGACCCATTACTAGGCGTGACCATGGGAACTGTAAAGGGTCTGAAACGTTGTTGGTTTGTTTGAAAAATTAAATACACGCGATTTAGATCCGAAAAAATAGATTTATTTTGCAAAATATTAAAAAAAAAATGGAAATTTTTTGATGACTCAACACCTTATCTGCTTAAAAAATTGACATGGCACCTCCTCTGACGTCTCCTAAGTACTTTGCAATAACGAAACGCTAAAGCAATTCTGCACCATTAAAGCGAAAGTGAAAACATAAATATATTGCCTCCCGCCGCCGTTTAGAAAACCCAAAGCAAGATAAGGATTAAGAAAAAATGAAAACCTAATGTATTAGAACCACAGTGGAAAATATTTATTGAGGATCCCGATAATTAAACAAAGACGTGGCTCAAAGGACTTATATCCAAACAGTCTTAATAAAAAAAAAATCATCAATGACAGCCAGATAACTTCAAATTTTGTTTGACGTTGACAATTGTTTTGCTTGCGCGACTCTTTGTGAGGAAGAGAATCATTGTTCACTTTTTAGACAAAAACATTGTTTCCCCGTTACAAATTGTGATGTGAGTACTGGAAAAGGCTCAGCACGCAACAAAAATGGGTCTCAGAATCTCTGACATCGTTGCAACGCTAATATTGAACACGATACACAGTGCTTACACGGCGGGTAAGTAGCCGACAATTATTTAATTGAATCAATTCATCCCGTACGTGTTATCCAAGACCTTTATTCTTTTTAACAGACCACATCCTGTCCTGTGACGCGCATGTTCTAGACCAGTGTACTGGGGCCAACCAATTCTGTAACCAAACAGCGCACGAATGCCAATGTATTAAAGGGTTCATATGGGTCGGAGATGAGTGCGTGGACCCTGACGTGGACCCTTCGGAACCCCACAGCGCCGCAGCTGCGGTCATCGCTATATTCACGATAGCTCTAGTCATCTGTGGCCTCTATTTAGTTATAAGGAAGTACAATCTGGTTGAGTATGCCAGGCAAAAGATCAACGCGCGAAGGAACAATGACGTGATGTACGAGGATGTGATGATCGGGCAAGATGACCCACCCCTCAGCCCTTGAAGTTGCCTTGTTACCTCTTATAAACATTTATTTATTTGTGTAGATTAAATATTGAAAAAGTGTAAGGTTTTATGCAATGTCAAGTGTTTGAATAAGAAAAAACTCAGATTTTGTCATATTGAAATTTTGTTGCTTTTCAGGCACTTGACAAGATGATTATAATGACTATCATGTCCTATTGTTGTGGTTAGCTAGCTTTAATTGCTGATATACCTTTACGACTAAACCCATTATTCTAGAATAGTGGCCTATCTCGACACACCTAGCTATCAGGAAAATGGTTTAACAAACTTGAGGCGGAACTGGTGCACAAAGCCGACAATATTATGCACGCCAAACACTTTGTTGTCGAGTTGCAGACACCAGCCCGTTGCACCAAGTACCAACTGATGGAATGTACAGTGTGAATTCACAATCAAATCAGGACATCCAAATACAGCTATTTATTAGATAAAAGTGCATTATTTTGGTTTAGGCCATTATATTTTTAAAAAGCTGCAATATGTACCAGTAGTAGGGTGTATTTATTTCCTGGTTTGCTGATATTCCTTGGTCAACTCTCAGATTTTAGACTACATTCATAAGTAAATAAATACAATTCATCAAATTTGAAATTATTCATAGAAGTCAAAACTTCAATAATTAGTTTATTTATGATTTCCTTCTCTTAGATGCTTGTGCTCAATTTAGCCAAAGACTGAATATTATGAATTCCAATATTTATTTGCACAAAATTTGTATATTGCTAATGGCTATCTAACAAATGTAAATATTGTATAAAATTAAACAGACTAAATGAAAAGCAGCTTATTTTTTTATGTTTTGCCAATTACTTTAACCTTGATATAAGTTGTTAAAGGAATAAATAGGAATAAGGAATGAATAACTAATACATCTGAAGTGAACTTTAGCTTGCTAAGATCACTTGTTTATATTTTCAATTCCATTACTAAATAAATGATGTCAATCTTAACATAATGCTAGAATAGAGCATTTTTAATATGTTATTTTTAATTAGCCAGAGACCTTTTATCACAGCATTTCCATCAATAAGCCAACAAACAATTTTTTCTCATTTCACAAACCTGCATCAGCTGTCCATGAATTTATAAGGTAAGTAAATAAAAAAATGTGTGAATTTCTAAAAGTTGTTTGTTGTAATAATAGGTATGCTGCATTGTTTTAGCCTCATTAGCTATATCTATGTATGTAGTGTTTTTGTTTTTAATTTGTTTATTACATTTATATTTCCTTTACTTCATGGGGCAGATTAATTATAAGGATTTATTTTTGCAAAATATGCATATTATTTTAAATAATTTGGAAACAAATTGTTAGAATTGTAAGTACACAATAACAGAACATGTAACACATACTTGTAAACAAAATATAGTTTATGTATGTACCAATGATTATGTTATTAAAGTGTAAAGTGAATATATTTTTTAAATAAATATTCTGTGATACTGCAGTTACTGAAACTTGTTTCTTGCTATGTCACTAACACGTGCAGAAATGGAGTCCCATGGAATGTAGTCAGGTATTTTGCACAATTGCTTATTACAAGTACAAATATTGTGACTGCTGCAGAACACTCATATAAAACTGTAACAAAGACATGTTGATAACTAAGTACATAACTCATGAGAAATCAGTATTAATAATAATTAATATTTGCTACACTTACTGTACATTTTATGAAAATTTTTAATATGACTATTTCAAGTGTCCTTGGAATAACGTAGAAAATCAGTGCTACTTCTAGCCTTTACACTCAATATATAGAGGTTTAAATGCAAATCTTACCCGTAAATACATTGAGAAATACAACAAAGCTGTACCCAAATACAAGCAAGTAATGTATGGTTCTAGTCTCTGTAGAAGTTTCAGTGTTGCCCCACACCAACATTGGTAATGTGAAAAGAATGCTCACATTTGCTAGGGAAAATGCTTTTAATACTCTTACAAGTGACACTGCAACAATGACAAATGGTCTTAAACACTTTCTTAATTATTTAAATGTTCAAATGGTCTGGTAGGCACCACAGTATAGTGACGGATGACTTGAAAGGATTACCTTTATTCTGCTCTGATGATTGGGATCCCAGCAATGTCATTAGAAAGTGAGTAGTCAAGACAAATGCTATTATACCTGTAAATGAAATAGTATAATTAATTAATTATAACTAAATTAATAACTCCAATACCTATTGTTGATTTAGATCACCACCAAACATTTGTTGCACACACCTGTGAAAGTTGAAATAAATTGTATGTAGAAATCTTTCTCCCATATGAATAAGTCAAAATTATCAGCTCTCTCCTCAGGCACCCAGCCACTGCACTGACTCTTCCAAGAGCCAGGGGCAGAAATATTGATAGGCAGGTATCTGTTAGGAAATGTGTGTCAGGATTGTAGCATTGTGGTCTCTGCTTATCCCAATGGGAAAAGGGTGTGTAGTGCATGTACGTATCTGTTGTAAGTTCTCTATGACTTTAATTTTCCTACATATAAAAGGTAAATGTCTACAAGCTAAGCCATTTAGATATCTACTGTGACGCTTTATGCCTGGGTATACTTTATGCCACCCAATCATTGACTTACAATTATATGGACGTCGGGTCCGCGCTAAAAAGTGTCCGCACTTGTAAGGCGCTAAAATCGTATACAGAGCGCGACACTCCGCTTTAGTCTTCATTTGTTCTACTGACAGCGCGATACTGCGATGACATTACAATTTAAATTTCGAATAGGTTGACTTGGGACATTTTTTTCGTGGTTTTTGTATTAGACCCGTCGTCCATTTATTTGTAAGTCAATGCACCCAATGTTTGACAGAATAATAAGAAGTTTATAAGTCAATAATTACAATAGGCAAAATAAATGTCATGCAGACAAACTGACAAGTAGGTGGAGTTGATAGTGGTGTTTGTTTGTATGCCACAAATGGAGTTGATCAATATGTTGAACAGGCTGTCATTGCGCCACACTCCGTATGTCTCCAGCAGTATCAGGATTATGAAAAGCTTCCAGTATGACTGAAAATATTAAAAGCTGTAAATATGTAGGCAGTCGCAAAAGACAGTTTTTTGTTAAAACAACGTACCTTGAAATCAGTATTATAAATAACATGTCTTTGAGCTTCTTTGGACATTAATACGAGATCAATCATCACTATCACAGGATCATACTCAATGTACTTGTCTACAATGCCTTTGCATTTGTTCTGGAAACACGTTGCACCAACATTACGACAAAATACCTGAACAACTTGAAAGACTCGATTTTTTCTTTATAATACTGCGTGTAAATCTATCGGCATTGACAAGGATGTTTCTCGTCACTTAAAACGCAACGCTGAGTATTTTTTTCATGGAAGTAAGGGGAAATCGCTTACACATTTGTTTAATTTGAGAACTGCGGGCCCGTATGTCCGATAAAGCGCCCCAGTGGGCTCACC